TAATGTATGCTATACGAAGTTATTACGATGTCAAAATGCTGTAACTTTCAAGCCTCATAACTCGAAAAGTACTTAATAAAAAATAATTTTATTATATTGTTTCGGAAACGTCTTAACACCAGCTTTAAGAATATGTAATAGAAAATAGGAGATTCTATTTAAGATTTCAAAGTTGACCTTCGCGGTGTCTTTCAAGGTCACATGAAGGTCATTTCAATATAACCATATAATAGACCATTTGATATACTAAAACTTTTGTATTGAACATTTTCTTCCATAATCATTATTTTCCAAGATATTTGACCGTTACGGAACTTTCTTCCATCACTGTATATACTGGCTTCTCGAACCAAGAACTCGATGACCAAGTTCTAGTATCGTCATATAATAGAAATAAATATTTTCTCTATATATACTTGTACTTTGCTCTTAACAAATGGACGGATTAAAATTATATTTGTATGTTATATGTGTGTTTACGCATGCACACAAAATTAAATTTGTTCTCTGTTCAAATTAAGCAAAAAAATGTCTTACTAAAAAATATTTATGTAAGAAATCTTTTGCTAAATTTGAAGAAACAGCAATTTTAATGTACGCATATTTTTTGTGCTAGAAATATCTTTAGGAAATCCTACGAATAACTATTTATTATCGATCTGTATCATTCGAATCATTTTGATCAAAATGGGATGTCCTGCGGAGATCGTACATAAGATATCCACAGGACATGCTACACGGGATATCCTCAGGTAATCCTACGGATAACGTTTTGTTCTGGATCAAACTGGGACTATTTCGATCAAATTGGGATGTCCTGGGGAGATCTTTGCTATGTGGGTAATTATATTGTTAAGGCACATTTTTTCATAATGTTACTACAATTCAAATACTTCCCAAACAACACGCAAATCTTAAAGACATCTGAAAGATATCCAAAAAACGTCAGAAAAAACGATGTCTTTTAGACATCTTTTATGTAAAATATAATATATTTATAAGTAAACAAAATGGTAAGTTAAATATTCTTATTTTTAAAACAATTCAAAATTTTTCTTATGGAAAATGAGTTAACCAATTTACAATTTTGAATATTAAATGCAATTGATCAATATTTTCTGACTTAAGACGCGGTCAAAAAATTCTTATACATTAATGGCCTTTACACGTCAAAAAGTTTTGTTGTATCCGTGAGGCGTAAGCAAATCGATTAATGCATTACTGCTCACTGTATAATGCATATAATGGCCTTGAGAGCGCCGTGAAGCAAAAAAGTTTGGAAACCACTTTTTTATGAGATATAAATTAAGTAAATACCATACTAATGTTAATGTATAATTAATAAATAAGAATAGCAATAGCAGATTAAAATTAGGTTTTTATAGTACACTGTCTGATAATAAGAATTATTACATAGAATGATCGAAACATTTAATGTTATTGTACAAAAATAAAGATTTTTTTAAATTTTTTTATGGCCAAAATAAATTTTGTTTAGAATTACTGCGAACCAACTAAGCTTCTTGCGTAAATAATTGTACATTTGAAATTTATTACTTTATAATAAATAATTATTTTATTGCAACATATTATAGAAGTGTCTTATTCGTAACGTCAGCGGAAATCATTCCTCGTGCTTTTATTTTGTTTGTACACTTTACACTACATGATAATTAGCTATGGCAACTAAATTTCTGGTAATTCGACACGCACAATGAAACCACTTCAAATATCAAATTTAAATATAAATAAACTAAATGAACTTTTCGTCATCAATAAATTTAGTAGCTAGTAAATCTACCAGCAGCCTTCAAGCTCTTATTATTATTTTGATTTGTTTTTAATGCTCAATAATCATAGCACTTTTCAAGGTATCGAAATTAATCATTTCTATAAATTCCGTAAAAACAAGACACCTTTAAAACTCTTTATAATTTTTACAAAATTCAGAATAAAGATACATTTCACTATGCACATATTTCAAAATACTTTATATATAAGTAATTCAAAATACCTTATATATAAGTTAAAAAAAGTTCTTTTATCTTTCGATTTTATTTCTGCGATATCTCAGTTTACGTTAGAATATTTCAATGCTATAATGGTATATATACTGGAAGCAATTGCTACATAACATTACCATTTTCTGTCAATTACTGTTTTAAGTTCTACAAATTGAATAAATTATTTATCTTTTTCTACAATCCTTTTCTAATTTTAGTTTATAAATAATACATAGTATAAGCGCAAGTTCTACGAATTGAATAAATTATTTATCTTTTTCTACAATCTTTTTCTAATTTTAGTTTATAAATAATACATAGTATAAGCGCCTTCAGACTATCTTATGTTTCTTCAATTTGCATTTTATATTTCAGCAAAATAACAAAGCCGTATATCAATGTAATTTACTATAATGCATGCATATCTTTCCTATTTATATCAATGGTAACTGATGCAATGTGTGTATCAATTTTAACTTTTTCGAACTTTTACTTATCGTATATTTTATAAGAATATCATTAAATATTTTGTGTATAAAAAAATTTATAAGCGATGGAAAACTTCTTAAATAAGTTCTTGCTGCACGCAACTCTGACATTTCATCGCAAATCTTTGAATTGTTGATTGTTTGACAATATGAGAAATAATTCTTTATAAGCAATAGTATTACATACATACATAATAACATGGTCATACAAGAAAAAATAACACTAAAAAAAGTGATTACCGTCATAAAGTTGAGTTTATTTGTTATATGGTTTTGGCCATTACCACATAATGTGAGTAAGCGCAAAGTGTTGTGTATGAAGTTGTATCAATATGTTTGTATATTATTGACTATAACCGTATTAGCATCGATGATATATGCTCTTATAAAGAATCTGGATGATCCTAATCTTGTCGTAAAATCATCACTGGGTTTGTTCCCTTGTAGTCATGTTATTTGGAATATTCTATGTCGTATAGCTATATATCAACGTCTACAAGTAAATATTACTAATATTACTTCTAAAAAATAAAATTTGTGCAGTCTCAATTGAAATGATACAGTGTTTTAATTTATTCCAGTGCGTTACTATCGAAATGGAGAATTTTTGCACGCTGATCAAGCCTTATGAAGAAGCCATTATTCAGAAAGAATATATTGATAAATGTGCTAATTTTTATGGTTTTTGCATAGCTTCATTTTATATGAGTGTTTTCGCGCTTTTTGTTGGACCCATTGTACTAGATGAACCACTTCCAGCATATGCTGAGTTTCCATTTGATGTATCTCATCAACCACTGAGAGCTATTACATATATACACCAAATAATAGTGGGTCTATATATAGCTGCGCATTTATCTGTCAATGCTTTTATGGCATTTTTGCTATGGTTAGCATCCGCAAGATTGAAATTGTTGATTGAAGAATTGCGAATAATCACAAACATCTATGATTTCATAAAATGCATCAAAAAGCATCAACAACTGCTCGAGTATGATATAATATTGTATGAAAATATACTATTATATTTTTAAATATCGGTTTGCTAAAAATATAAAAATTGTATGATATATATATTAATTACAATTATTTAAAACTAATATAAAACCGTATATATGTTATGGACAAAGTGATAAATGAAGCATTATGCATAATGTCCGAGACCAGTCGAGCAGAGTGATAAATATTTGTTAATTTATCGCTTTAACCAGACAATATAAATAAAAATAAATATAAATAAATATGTTAATGTAGGCTTGAGATGCTGATTTACATTAATATGCTTTATTAAGTAAGCTGTTGGAATACAAAAGGAACGTTCTTTTAATATATAAAGAAGCGATATTTTTAACCGTTATAAACTATATGGTACATATAGAAGGCAGGCCACATACGCGATGTGACACATGAAAATCACTAGATAATGCCAACCTTACTTTGAATATTT